TTTTTTTTTTTTTTTTTTTTTTTTTTTTTCATTTTGAGAAACGAATGTACGGAAAACTCCGTTGGTGTACACGTCGGGTGAAATACGTGAAAGCGGACTGACATGTGGGATAGCTCGTCGCACGGTTTTACCGTGTGCGGTAATATCTACAACCGCGAACCTGTCGATAGGTCTCCGTTTTCTCAATGCGTGTCGCCCGTCTATATATACTCTTGGTTGAAGGTCCGAATCAACGGATTGTGGTACAAGGCTTCTTACAAGCAGTGGTACATTCTTTTACTCGAAGACAATGAGTTTTCGTAATCCGAAGAAAAAGTTGCTATAGTAATGATGCTATAGTAATTTTGAGAATCTTACGTAATTATGTTTTGAAAAAATATTTCCATCGGGTGCATATGAAGAGAATTAATAATGATTTTAGAATATTCGAAAATTGAATATCTCGTTTACAGTACGTCTTTCGATTCCTAGGAACTTTTCCATTGTAACTAGGTTAACCTAATTACTACGATTCTTCGAAACGTTTCTTTCGGATAACTACTAGTTCGTTTTATTATGTTTGGTTGATCATTAACATAGGAAATTTCAGAATTAGCGATAAATTTCTAGCAAGTAACGAAGCTTCATCGAAATTAACGATTCTCGTGGTAAGTGATTTAAATTTCCCGCTTAAATTTTTATCGCGAACTTTATAAACGTTTATATTCATAACGACACATCGTGACTGTAAAAGCTCTTCCTGCGTTAAACAAAATCGATAATATCACCTATTCGAATACCTGAAAATAATTTCCTAACACAAATGAACCACTCTCGCGAGCTGTCCACGGAATCCAACGCAGTCGCGAGAATTTCTGAAATTATGACTGAAAATATAAGACCAAATACGAATTATCAGAACCCCCCAACTCGACCAATTAAACAATCCTCTTTCAAACGAAGTCCACCTTGCGTTAAAACGAAATCTTTCGCTAGAACGAACAACACCTAACCACGTCGTTCTCCCCATGCACGCCAGCGACTTTCGTGTATTTATTTTCAAAAAGAAAAGAAAAAAGAAATCTAAATCAAGATATTTCTACCGACATTGATCATCCTCGTGGTTCCTTATCGAAATAATCGCGATAGCTGAACCGTGAACACATTGTCCTCGACTGATCCGCGAAATCCAGTGAGGGCTGATCCGTGTGTTGCACGCAAGCGTATCATTGCCGGTGCATCAGTCACGGAGCACGCCATTTCCTTAATTTCGCAGCGCAATTTTATAGACACACTCGAAACGTGACCGGTATCTTTCATTGATATCTACGTCTAGCCTCATCATCCTCCACATCCACACCCTATGATGTTCCGTCTCCGATCAACTTAGCTCGCCGATCTTCCTATCTGATCTACCTGCCCCGTTCCCCGAGTGTATTATCAGCGAGAACGAACGCGATTTCTCCACGTTTGTATCATCGAATGCGGCCATTGTTCGCGATAGAACAGAGTTAGGTAGATCCGCGGATAAGTGGTGAGAGGATGGAGAAAGACAGGGTGCGCCGGCGTGCAAATGGAACGCAGGCCGATGTTGCAGATCGGAGTGGTGGGCAAGCATCGGTGGTGGCACGCATGCTCGTTACAGAACCGCAAATTCGTTTAAACGGGGCGAGTCATTAAGTTCCGTACGGTAACAACCAATCAGGTTTCGACATCGGATTTTTGCTCGGAACGTGTACCCGCGGTATGAAAGGGGCGAGAGAGTGAGAGAGACAGAGGGATAAAAGACAGAAAGAGAGGGGGGAAGAGAGGAAAAAAGGGAAAAAGAGAAAATAAAGGGCGGAGGTTCGGGGAAATGAAGGAGGGACACGGTGTCCCCCGCATGAAAGGAAGAAGGGGAAAGCAGCGGCGGGGGGCGAAAAAAAGGACGTAAGAATGAAACAGCATATCGAAGAGACAGCCCTTGGTGTTCTTATTTGAAAATTAATTTGCCGAGAGATGGAACGACCAGTTTTTCAGCGGACGTTTTGTTGCATCGCGTCGTGCAACTGAGACATCCGCCGATTTCTTGATTGCGCGTGTGCATCTCCTTTGCCCGGAGGAGAGAGTCCACGACGCGCTCCCGCGCTAAGTGTAAGACAGTTGCCTCGTACGAGGTCTGCCATTTTGCGTAATATAACACGTGTATGATCTTTATATTTAATAGCACACCCGGCGAGAACAAGGAGCCCCGGCCTCAGCCTAAACTGAACCAGTTCCGAGGGGACCTGGCTCGGAACTCGCTCGATTCGGGAGGAACGGTGGGCTCGTGTATACCTAGCTGAACGAAGGAACCAGAGGAATCGCGCGATCCAACTTAATGTCGAGGTACGTCCGATAATATCGTCAGATCCGTTGAGCGGGTTCGGTTCTCTATACGGCTTCAACCTCTCGTCACAGGTGAAGCGCACGACTAGCGCACGAATTGGCCGAATGAAGATGTCCACCTCCGAGGCATTTGTGCTCGGAAATGAAACCTCGACGGAACTACACACGTGTTTGCGGTTGGATCGCACGAGCATGCACGCACGCAGCTGAATAACTCCGCGGCATTCAATGGGATTCCTTCTCGACCGACGCCTCTCTCAGCGAAAGCTCGCACACTGCTCTCGAGTACAGTACTTTTTGCGGCCGTCTTAACGCGCTCGTTTGCACGCATGTGTTGTCACCGTTCGCTACGAATCTTCCAGAGGTCCCTTCCACCCTTTCGTCCCGTTCGATTGTCCGCATATACGACACTCGAGTACTCGCATGAACCGACTGGACGCGCGACATGCGCGCAGGGTATCAGCGCAGAGGCTAGCCTGACAGTGTACATTCCGCATATACGACACTCGAGTACTCGCATGAACCGACTGGACGCGCGACATGCGCGCAGGGTACCAGCGCAGAGGCTAGCCTGACAGTGTACAGGGGGGCTTGCTCGTCGACTCGCGACGTGACACGGTTTTTACAAATTTGTCGCGTGAAACGAGGCTAAGGTAAGCGGCGAGCAGGCGAGAGATGACACGCGGCGGTTCCTTGGAATCGCGTTTGACTACGTGTATCAAGGGGAAAGAACCGTGATCGTCGACGCTTATCATCCTCCGCGGACAGAAGGAAAGCACGTTTCACGGGAAGGAGCGAAACCACGAGCAGAACTGAGCACGACTAAGGCTTTGAAAGTGCCTCTCGGACAGAGGAGCCGAGGGGCGGTCATGCATGCGTGGTTTACAGCACACGACGACACTCGATCATCGAGAAGACCGTCGAGCGATCTCGTTCATGGGCGACTGAGCTCTAGCAACCGGTCGGCGACGGTCGTCTCTGGTAATCGTACCAACGAGCCCTACCGTGCGTCCCTCGTTTCGTATTTTAACAACGCGTTGCGTTCTGCTACTCTGGACCGAGAGTGCCCAGAGATTGAACCAAATAGAGAGAGAGAGAAAGGAAGTAGAGGGAGAAAGATAATGGAGCACGAGAGGAAGGTATTTAACGAAAAGAACAATTTGGAAGATAAAAATGAGAGGAAACCGCAAGGAAGAGAAAACGAAGAAAGGAGAGAAAGAGACGAGGAGTGAGCGAAGGTGGCAGATTCGATCAACGAACCGAAGGACGTGCAAGGACGAGGGATGCCCGAGGTATACGTTGTCCATGAACCCCGGCATCCCACGATCCACTCGCAAAAACCTTCATGATTTTCTTGTTCTCCCGGTCAGCGTAGGAAAAAAACAAGCGTAACGCGAAGAAGTCTGCGGAACACAACGCACCCTCTCTCTCTCCTCCTCTCTCTCCTCTCTTTTCTCTCTTTCTCCCGATTTGTTTGCGGCTGGATCCCTTTTGTGTTCAGAACACGAGCTCGAATCGCAACGCTGTTGTCCGAACAAGGGAGGACCTTGGAGCATCGATTCCCTTCGTCGATCGTCCGTGAACGACACGCATTCTCTCTTCTCTCTCTCTCTCTCTCGATCGCCTATAGCGCCCCAATATCGTATCCTTGCTCTCGTTTGCAAACGGCAAGAAAATTTAGTCGTCCAAAGAGACACTCGTCCTGTTTCTCGTCGTTTCGTTGTCATTGTCGTGGTCGTCGTCCCGATTCCGTCCTACGATCGAACCCCGTTCGTGAATCGAATAGCTCGGGAACTCGTGTCGAATGTGGACAAGTGATCGGCGCGAGAGAACCGGGCAACGTGGCCGTAGACGGTATTCGAAAAGTATAACGTTCCGGGTTAATTGCGAATTTCGTCGTTTCGTGGTACTCGAGGGGCGATCCGAGTGTTCAAGGAACGATGATCAAGATGGAACAGAGAACACTCCGTGGAGAAACTTCTCCCTCGCCGCTTCCCTTCTTCGACCAGAGCCAGGCCACTTCCTCCTCGCCTTCCTTTTCGTCTCTTTTTCATGTCTTCGCTATAGTCATTTCTCTTTGGATTCGACCTGTTCTTCCAGACGCTTTACTTCACTGACTGGTTGGTAATCGATCTGAAATCAGAAAAAAAGGTTCACCTGCGGTTAGCGATGTGTTACATTTCAGCGCACCGACCGAGTCGAGATCCGCCAAAGTGGAGGAACACTTTGAGATCGCCTTCGGTCGAATACGCTGGACCCGAGATTTGTGTATAATAACGTGGTTATTATCTCTATCTACGTGATCAAGTAAGGTTGGTAACATGAGTAGTTATATTGTTGTAATCGGAGCGTAATAAGTATGGTACGTAAGAGTAGTATATGACAGTGTATGGTAATTTATTAGCGCCTGATTATAGGAAGTATTTTTCGCGTACTTTTTGCGATACCTCGTGTTCCCTGTGTGCGTTTGTATCGCGAAGGTGAAGTTCGATTAGGTTTATTTACCTTGCCTCGTTATACTTATAACCATTGTGGAACTAGGTAACCGGTTAGAAATAACACCGGCGTCGAAATCAGGCGTTAAGTGCTGGCTGAGGTACAACTGTACTTCGACACTCCTCTTCTAATTTTTATTACACACGGTAAATTATAGCAAATTGGACAAAAGAATATAACACGATATATTACGCTATACTGAATTTACCGTCTGCACTTCATCCAAGGAACTATATTTACGTCCGCGGAACACCTGCGGTACTCTATTCGATACAACGAAGACTGGTATACGGAAAATTATTCTTCCCGTTTGTTGTGAATCTTCTTTTCCAATATAATTATCGGTATTTTTCATTTTTCCAGAATCGAAGACGAGAGCAAAACGAAAGGAAAGAAACAAGAGAGAAAAAGCAGGTTAGAAACGTATGTAAGTGGCTGGGCGAAAACGCGGCCATTAAACGTCGGTATGTGGCCAAAAACGAGCGGTAATGGCGCCGCCAACCGAGGAAAAGGTAACACAGAGAGGCGCAAGCAAGGGCCGCGGACCACTCTACCCGAAGCAGCTACAGGAAACGAATTCGAAGTTAACTTAACGACCACAGCGCCGCCGTCTTATCCAGCGGATATTAAATCCACCGGCGAGACATTTCTCATGCGAAAACTTTCCACCGACAGAGGGCGGAAACTTACCGCGAAGCATGACTTTAAGGACGCGACTGGTCGAGCACACCGAGCCAGAGGAGAGAAGGACGACGACGTGGTTTAGGACAGGAGTGAGAACGAGATAGGGTACGGGACGGTAGAGACAGGGGCAAGGGGAGTAAGAGAGAGAGAGAGAGAGAGAGAGAGAGAGAGAGAGAGAGACAAAGGAGTCGCGTTGCAACGACAACGAAAGGGACGCGCGAGCGTCCCGATGACGACGTGGAAAAGGAAGAGTGAAAGAGGAAGGGGAAGGAAAGAGCGACGAAAGAGGAACACGAGGAGAAAGAGAAGAAAGGCAAGGGGGCTATATTATGCTCGCTAAAGCAATGTTACCAACTCGAGAACTGGCGAACTAGCCGACAGTAAAATCCATTTTATGTCTCCCTCGTAAAGCCAGTCAAATGAAACCCGGACTTAGTTTTCATACGTGCACCCACCCGCCATTCACCAGGCCAGACCAAACCCGGTTTCCTGCTCCGCCGCCGCTGCGGAGGGTCGTGGCTGACTTTTTCGGAAGTCTAGACACGCTGGTTCCTCTTCAGGGAGCATCCCATCTTTTCGGACCGTTCCATTTCTGCACGATCGGTCGTTCGCTTCGTTTAGTTTCATACGATACACGAATATACGAGCTTCCATATGTCCGTGAGAAGTGGAGGTGATTGGACTTGGTCTAGTTAGGTCTAGGGAATTCGTAGATGTCGCGTGGTACGTAGGGTTCGTAGGGTCTGTGCAATGCTCGTCCGCTTCGTTTTGTTTCATACGATACACGAATATACGAACTTCCATATGTCCGTGAGAAGTGGTGGTGGTTGGACTTGGGGTCTAGTTAAGTCTAGGGAATTCGTAGATGTCGCCTGGTACGTAGGGTTCGTAGGATTTATGCTATGCTCGTCCGATACTGACAAATGACAATTTAGTGCAGAGGATAGCCATCTCCACATTACTGTAGCCATTGGATTACTCTATTCGCTGATCGTCTAAGTTCTACAGCAATTTTAGAATGATTAGTGGATAGATTAAATATCGCTAGAGATATTGACAACTGACAATGCAGTACTGAGTACAGCCATCAACACAGTACTGTAACCGTCGTATTAATCTGTTCACTGATGATTTGAATTCCATAGCAATTCTAGAATGATCAAAGGATAAATCAATTATAGCTGGAGACATTAACAATTGACAATACAGTACTGAGTATAGCCATCAACACAATTCTACAGCCATTGTATTAACCTATTCTCTGATCATCTATATTATATTGCAATTCTAGAATTATGCATGCATAGATCAATTATCGTTTCGTTTCATCCGATATACGAATATACGAGCTTCCATATGTCCGTGAGAAGTGGTGGTGGTTGGACTTGGGGTCTAGTTAGGTCTAGGGAATTCGTAGATGTCGCCTGGTACATAGGGTTCGTAGGGTTTGTGCTATGCGACGTGTTCGTGTTTCGTGGTTAGAGAGGTGTTTGGGTTAGTTGATGGGTTGATTAATCGTCGTGTTACGAGTAGGTTGGGGTTACCACTGTTGTTTCTAAGGTTAAGCGTTGGTCTGACCCTCGATTAGTATGTTTGGGACATGCATGAACTACGAGGTAAAATCGAGACTGCAAAATTAGGTTTTAATTAGGTTGATTTGTTGGGATATGCAGGTTGATGCAACAGAAAGTGATATTATGTGTTTAATATGTAAAATACACTCTATACTTTCTCTTTTACGTTCACTCCTTTGGAGATGGAGGACGAACCCACTAGTCTAGGAGTCTAAGAATGTGCTTACGATTAATGCAATTGCTTGTTGATTTTGTTTCGAGTAAAACATGTACAAATTGGAAAGACTAACGATTCAATAGCTTTTTATCCTTATACCTTAATTATTAATTAAATTAATATACCTTAATTTACCCAAAATTATTAGCTCACCGCGATATGAGTCGAAAATGGCAATACAATTGACCAATTCGTTCAAAAATCTATACAAATCGAAGTGACTTTGGCAATTCAATTGGTTTTGAGCGGTGAAATTTTGTAAATTAACGCGAAATTTGTGGTTCGTGTGTGAAACAATCATACTAGTCGAGGATTAGGGTAGCATGCGAAGGTTTCAAGTAGGTTTTCTGCATTTCTCGGTTCTTCGATTCTTTGTCCTTTATGTCTGCTTTATGTCTGCTCAGAGAAATTTCGAATTTTTCATAAAGAAATTTTGTAATTTCTCTGATTAAAAGAATTTCCTGATGATTTCCTGATTAAAAGAATTGAATGTTTAAATTCTGACTAGCTTTGGAATTTAAAAAAGCTGAAACTAGCAGATTTAGGTATATTTATTATACATGCATCGTATTTTTTAGCTCTGACATAATCATTTTATCTCATACTAGATTTCACTGGGATTTAAAATCGACGTTGATGAATTTCGCGAATGCTGTTCGATCTCCGAGTTGCAATCCAAAGATTCTTTCCATGTGAAACAGAAAAGGCAGAAAGAATTGGAGTTTCTCTAACGAAACACAGATTTACAAATTAAAATCGATCGATGGAATATTAAGAGCCAGTTAATTTTCTCGTTTCTATATCTTCCTCGTATTTATTAATTTCTAAACAGTTCTTCAATAATTTATAGGAAAGCTGTCGTCAAATTTTAATTGAACAAAATAACCAGCATTCTAGGTAGCATTAACTCCGATTTCCATGTAAAGGCTTGCATAAAAAGAAACGAGTAAGTCAAATAATTTTCCGCTTCGACGGCATTTATCATGTGCAACTGAACTAATTACTCGCTTCCACTGTTTTCTAGACATAATTAATATCGAGGCTTCCGTTTTCCATGAAACGTTTTAATTGACTACGAAACATTTCTTAAAACAGATTTGCATCGATAAATCGCTATATTTTTTGCTTTTTCATATTTCATAAAAACACACAATTATCCCATCTGCAAACGCTGTAGTCTATGGAACGATATAACCAAGAACGAACGTGAGAACCAATAATAGTAAATACAGTGTAATGCATATGCATAAAAAGGTCGAGAAGATAAAAAGATGAAAGAACATATCGAGATAACGAGATGAATATTCCATGACCCAGCAATACTAAATAAAATACAAAAGTACTGCGATTTATAACTAAAAACAGAATTAACCCCTTGCACTTGTGAGGCACCCTTCAGCCGCCATTTAATAAAATTTCGAAGATCGATATTAATTAATACGTTAAATTGAAGATAACGTAACAGTGTGTGAAATTAAATAACTTTGAACTCCTACTCTTCTTCAGCCAAAAAATCGTCGAGTGCAAAGGGTTAATAATTAAAGATAAAAATTATTTTCCATTTTTCCATTAAAAACCAACGTACGATATACATTAGCCGGAAAATTAAAAAAGAATTTATCGACGAGTGGTTACTTTTATTACAACTGGTTAACCATTGAAGTAAGAATAAAATATCACGTGACACGTCAGCGCGAACAATATTTTTCCATTCACCTCGTTTTGCAGCAGGTTACCATAGACAAAACATTGCAATACGACCTTCCACTCCCTCCATTGCTAATGCCCAACGCGATCATCGCTACAATCCATTACCACAGTCACTCCACGATACATTTAATCTCCACCTCCAATTTACTTTCACCGACGACCAATTACGCGTCGCGCCTATCCCACGCGCTCATCGCCGCGTGAAATCTCATTCCCCCCACTGTAACTATCGATACAGCTAAATTAGACGCGCCACGTTCACGCGATAGCGGACGGTACTCGCGGTTGTATCCCAGGCATCCGCGAAAATATCCCCCGTCGATGGAAGAGACTAAAGTCAGAAAATCCTAGGGAAGCGAAACCTCGTCCGGCACTAAAACCTGGCCGCGTCGTAAAACGAGTCTCGTGGACGTATACGTACGCCTGGAAAAGCATCGCGGCGATAAAGACCG